CCTAATATCTCCAAAAGTGTAATAGTTAGATATAAACTTAAATAGCAAATAATGATCATCAAGACAAGATCTACAAATAAGTTAACTAGGCTGAAATCCTCCTTATTGGAGTTTCGCCCTTATTGACGATTTCTACCCATTTTTAGTGGATTTACATATTATCTTGAAAAGTATGATAGATAGAGAGAGACTTTAAACAGCAAAAATGATAAGATAAGATAAGGTCTACAAATTAGTCAACATAGGCGTAATCGTCAGAAGACTCCTTATTGGAATTATTGTCCTTTAATAACGATTTTAACATTTGTTTGCGTTTTTGCCTAGAATATCTTAAAAACTATACTAGATAGATAAAAACTTCAATAAGCAAAACTAATCAAACAACCAAGATCTACGAACAAGTCTAATGGTCGAAATCATTTGACTACTTACTGGAGTTATTGCTCTTCAAAGGGGCATTTATAGCTACGAGATATAAAAACAAATGAAATATGATTTTTTTTTTGTTCAATCATTAATGAAACTGATATAGTGAAATAAATTCGCTTTAAGCAGCCAATGTGGTTAAATGTTGATACATATTATCGAGTCAATGCATTGTTAATTGTTTATTTTAGACCTTTTTGTAATTTGGATATACGTTTTAGTATGTTATAAATCAAATATTAAAATTTGAGTCAAATCGGTGACCATGAATTTGACAGCTGATATCCCTTTAATGACGATTTTACCCGTGTTAAGTGTTTTGCCTACTATCTTGAAAACTAATAATAGATAGGTATTTATTAACAAAACTGATCAGCAAGAAAAGATGACCTATTAAAGTTCTTGCCTTTCAGTGTCAATTTTTCCATTTTTTTTTGCGTTTATACTTATTATCTTAAAACTGTAAAAGATAAGTAGACACTTTGAAAACAAAAAATATCAACAAGACAAGATCTACAAATAAAAGTCAAAGTATCCAGAAATTCTTAGTAGCCGGACACTTTATAGGAGTGATTGCCCTTAAATGATGATTTTTTTATTACCCTTTTTGTGTTTTGGAAAATAAATAAAGAAGATAGAGAGAAACTGTAACAGAAAAAAAATATCACCAATACAAGATCTACACTTTATTTTTTTAAATGAATTTTTTCTAGTCCACAATGTTGGAGAGTGTCCATTGTTAAAGATGTCTATAGACATAGCTGAGCGACCCAGGCTCTTTAAATCATCTAGTTTTAGCACACATCAGGTTGTTGGTTTTTTTTTTAAATTGCTTCACATTTTGTCATGTTGGTGTTCTTAAAGCCTAACTATACTATATGGGTTTTGACTTACGGTGCCTTACAGTTGTTTATCCACTCGTCCTATAGTCTCTGATGGAATTTGTCTCACTGGAAATCATCCCCTTATTTTTATATTTAACATATAACATTGTTCAGTGAACAACTTTTTACAGAAGTCTAAAGGTCAGTTGAATCTGTTGATTTATAAAGGATCTTGTGGTGCTCATTGTCTTCTTACATGGAGATAAATGAAAACAATGGAAAACTATCTATTACATAAGAAATCAGTATTTTGATAATCAGCCTGTCGGTCTAGCTCAAAGTTCATTTTAACATGTTTTCGTTCTGAATATAATTGCAATTAGTACCCACTGGACATTAAATACCCATGCTCTCATATGTAATGGCTTGAGATATTTTTACTCTATTTATACCAAGGAGTACATAAAAACCACAACAAAACTTACCACTTACCATTTAACGTGAGCAATGGCAATCAAATCAAATAAGTGACACTGTAAAATATTAAGCTGTTGCTGATATTATTTTCTCAATTTGCGTCGTTATATCAGAAAAAGTTAAATTTAGATAAATTGGAAGAAAAAAATAATCTTTTAAAGAAAATAAAAATGCTTCTGAGAGTAGATGAACTTTAGAACTAGACACGAAACGGGTTGTTTTTTCTGCCTTAAAGAAGTTTCAATACCATTCAATACGTTAAATACTGATTCGATATACTTGTATTTGGAGATGATTTTTTTACCAGCAAAGTAAACTTTCATAAAAATTTGTAAAGAGTTCCACGAAACCCAGTATCTTGCCTGAGATTGCTTCAGTCAAAACAGCTGCACTGATGACTGCAAAAATACCTTTTATCAGTAAAATACGGAAAAAGGAATAAAAGTATTTTCAATATTTTTAGTCAGGATATAAAGAAAACCTTCTGCATTATTAACATAAAATTCCATGAAGATTTGACAAAGTTATTGATGACTGAAAATTTTACCCTCATACTGTATCTAGATATTAACTGTAAATAAATAGAAGTCAATTTATAAAAAATAAAAATATGAACAAATAAAAAAAGATAAACCAAAATTTTTCTCTGGATATTTATTGTCTTTTGGTCATTAAATTTTTTTCTAAAGGTAAACCACTGCGGAATGTTATTTTTAAATATGATGATATTGTGTTAGGTATTGCTGAATAATTTACATATCTTGGTATTTTGTTTTCCGGAACAGGAAGTTTTATGTAATTCCACCCCAAGCGAATTGTAGTTTATTACCGTATTTTTTTCTTTGAAATTAATTTGATTGTTTGAACCGCCAGACAATATATTAGACATTCATAACTTAGTCTTGTTATAATTGGTGTAAAATTACTCATTTAGTAATTTTTTTTTTAGTTCAGCGGATTATTATCACTTTTTAGTTATCACAAATCCATATCTCTCATATAAATGGGTATAAATATTGAAATAGGTCAAGGACGATGCATTCGAATAACCAGCCGAATTTGATACCGAACGTCTTTCACTCGACTGCTGAAGCTGGGTTCGGATTTATGCCGCGAATTTATCTTTGTAAGCACACTATAATTGAAAATCGAACAATGCTGTACCTTCTTGTAGAGTGGTCGGAAACCGGCCGAAAACGACTGAAAATATTCAGGTTACAAATTATGTTGTCTTAATGAATAGATTAACTTTCGCTACGGCGCTTTTTTTCTCTCTCGGAAATCTACCTAAAACACCGAAACAACATTTAAGATTTACAGTGACACAATAATATACATTAATATCGCATAATTACATTACATGTATGTTTCATGAGAATCCGTTAGTTTGATTGGCTAACAACAACCGCGAGTCATTCAAAAATTAACCTTCATATTAAAATAAAATGTTACATTCGTGATGACACGTGCTTCCGCGAAAAAAGGACACAGGTAAATAAAAGAAAAAAACGTAATAAAACTTTTTTTCATGGTCATAAAAATGTTATTATAAGAAATTAATGCTTATTTTAGTAATTTGGTAGGGTTGTAAAAGTGTTGATTGTGCACACATTTTTAGAATGAAGCGCTTTTACGCCCCAAAAAAATTACAAAAAGAAACATTCAAACCAGTATAAACCGACTTTCATGCGCAAAGCATGTGTTTCTGGAAAAACCTTCACGACGTACATTCGATATTTAATTTTGGATTTAGCAATATAATTACAGATCTTTTGATAGCTCAAAAACTGAAACTGACCAGCTAAACGGAACTAAAAATGCCTCGATGGACAACAATACGTTAGTCGTAAGGGAGCTACCATTTTAATTTTAGGGGGGGGGGGGGGGGGGGGGGGCTAGGATGAAATTTGTGAAAAGGCAGGACAGGAGTTTTGAGTAAAAAAAAGGCAGGATGAGCAACTTTGCAAAAAAAAAGGCAGGATTACAATTTATGAAAAAAAAGGCGTTTAGACAAAACATCAACCTGAACAGACACTTGAAAATACATACCGGCAATAAAACTCATATGTGCGATATTTGCGATAATACATCTAACTTTGCGGGAGAACTGATTCAGCATATGAGAATACATACTTACGAGAAACTTTATACTTGTGACACATGTGGTAAAGATTTTACTCGAAAAAGTCAACTGAATTATTACGTTGACATACACTCAGATTATAAGGCTTTTGATTGTGAAACTTGTGGTAAAAGTTTTAAAAGGAAAAACCAACTTGATAGTCACATGAGAACACACACTTGTGAAAAACCTTATAAATGTGATGAATGTGGTAAAACGTTTGCGCAAAGGTTTAAGTTAAAATTTCACATGAAAACACATACCGGTGAAACTCCATACAAATGTGAAATATGTGACAGAAAGTTTTCATACCGTAGTAGTTTACAAACACACATTGAAAATGCACACAATGGTGAGAGACCCTATATAAAAACCTTGGAAGAAAAAGCAAAGTATAATATGACCAGTGTTGCTTCCTGCTGTTCAATATATATATGGTAAATGTTTTAATGTAAAAGGCTATTTTACAACTCGCATGAAAACACATAAGGAGAAAAAAACACACGGTTGTCCAACATGTGGAAATTTTTTTTAAGAAGAGTGCTCTTGCGAATCATATGAGGATCTATACTGACGAGAAACTCTTCAAATGTACCTTGTGTGGTAAGGCGTTTAGACAAAATAGTAACCTGAACAGACACTTGAAAATACATAACGGCAATAAAACTCATAAGTGCGATATTTGCGATAAAACAATTAACTTTCCAGGAGAACTGAGTCAGCATATGAGAATACATACTGGTGAGAAACCTTATATTTGTGACACATGTGGTAAAGGTTTTACTCGGAAAAGTCAACAGAATAATCACGTTGACATACACTCAGATTATATGGCTTTTGATTGTGAAACTTGTGGTAAAAGTTTTAAAAGGAAAAACCATCTTGACAGTCACATGAGAACACACACTGGTGAAAACCCTTATAACTGTGATGAATGTGATAAAACGTTTGCGCAAAGGTTTAAGTTAACATTACACATGAAAACACATTCCGGTCTATACAAAAACACGATAAAATGACACACATAAACGTTTGCGGAAAGGTATGATTTAACATTACACACGAGAACACATACCGGTGAAACGCCATACGCATGTGAAATATGTGACAGAAAGTTTTCATACCGTAGTAGTTTACAAACACACGTTAAAATGACACACAATGGTGAGAGACCCTATCACAGTGATACGTGTGATAAATCTTTCGGAGACAAAGCCCAGTTACAAAGACACATGAAATCACACAATGGTGGAAAACCTTATAAATGTGATGAATGTGTCAGAACGTTTATGGAAAGTTATTATTTACACATGAGAACACATACTGTTGAAACTCCATACGCATGTGAAATATGTGACAGAAAGTTTCCATACCATAGTAGTTTACAGAGACACGTTAGAATTACACACAATAGTGAGAGATCCTATTGCTGTGGCGTTTGTGATAAATCATTCGGAGATAAAGCTCAGTTACAAAGACATACTAAAATACATACTGGTGAAAAACCTTATAGATGTAATGAATGTGGTAAAACGTTTGCGGAAAATGGTAATTTAACATTACACATGAGAACACAAACGGGCGAAACTCCATACGCATGTGAAATATGTAACCGAAAGTGTTCATACCTTAGTAATTTACAAAGGCACGCTAAAAAGACACATAATGATGATAGACCTATCGCTGTGACCTGTGTGATAAATCAATTGGATACAAAGCTCATCTAAACAGTCATACGAGAATACATACCGGTGAAAAACCTGAAAAATGTGAGGAATGTGGTTAAACGTTTGCAGAATGAAAAACGTTGAAGCGACACATAGGAACACATTCGGGCATCATGTACAATGTATACCTTACAACACATTTATCCTTATTAACCTGTGTACGTTATTTCATTTGGCGGCATTTTGTCCAAGGGTATAGTTGTCTTTCTGATATTGTTTTACATCTAACCCCCTTGTTTTATTAATTTTGTATTTACATTGTGTCATAGACCAAATTTATTCGTTCAGTGTATGTTCACTTGTTTTTGTAAATACATGTGTGTGTGTATGTCTTTTGATTGAGTTAAGCCATTTCAATTGACATTTTATAGTGTGTCTTTCTATGTTGTGATGTTACACTGTTGTTTCAGGTAGGGTGAAGGTTGGCGCCTATTAAAACGTTAAAACCCGCTGCATTTGTTTGCACCTGTCCTAAGTCAGGAACCTGATGTTCAGTGGTTGTCGTTTGTTGATGTGGTTCATAAGTGTTTCTCGTTTCTCGTTTATTGTCGAGCCTTCGACTTTTGTCGAAAAAGCGAGACATAGCGATCCTACATTCCGTCGGCGTCGTCGGCGTCGTCGTCATCGTCGTCGTCGGCGGCGGCGTCCACAAATATTCACTCTGTGGTTAAAGTTTTTGAAATTTTAATAACTTTCTTAAAACTATCCTGGATTTCTACCAAACTTGGACAGAAACTTGTTTATGATCATAAGATAGTATCCAGAAGTAAATTTTGTAAAAAAAAAATTCCTGTTTTTCCGTATTTTACTTATAAATGGACTTAGTTTTTCTGCCAGGAAACATTACATTCACTCTGTGGTTAAAGTTTTTAAAATTTTAATAACTTTCTCAAACTATTCTAGATTTCTACCAAACTTGGACAGAAGCTTGTTGATGATCATAAGATAGTATCCAGAAGTAAATTTAAAAAAAAAAATCCTGTTTTTCCGTATTTTACTTATGAATGGACTTAGTTTTTCTGCCAGGAAACATTACATTCACTCTGTGGTTAAAGTTTTTAAAATTTTAATAACTTTCTTAAACTATCCTGGATTTGTACCAAACTTAGTCAGAAGCTTGTTTATGATCAAAAGCTAGTATCTAGATTAAGGAAATTTTGTAAAAAAAAATTTCCTGTTTTTCCGTATATTACTTATAAATGGACTTAGTTTTTCTTCCAGTTAACATTACATAAAGTCTGCAGTTAAAGTTTTTAAAACATTTATTAGATTCATAAACTATCCTGGATTTTTACCGAACTTGGACAGAAGCTTCTTACAATAAAAAAACTTGTATCGAGAGGAATATTTTTATTAAATTTTTTCCTCATCTCATTTTTGTTGAGCCTGCGATTAACAGCAAAAGTAGGCGAGACACTGGGTTCCGCGGAACCCTTACGAATTTTTTTTTATAGATTAGACCGTTGGTTTTCCTGTTTGAATGGTTTGACACTATTCATTTTGGGGCCCTTTATAGCTTAATGTTCGGTGTGAGCCAAGGCTCCGTGTTGAAGGCCGTATTTTGACCTATAATGGTTTACTTTTAAAAAATGTGACTTGGATGGAGAGTTGTCTCATTGGCGCTCATACCACATCTTATATCTTATATCTGTTAAACCGTAAAAGTTTTAAACGGGATATAAATTAAGTTTTCAATACAGAGTACATACTGGTGAAAAGCCATACATGTGTGACACATGTGGTAAAGGGTTTGAAATATCAAGTCGCTACAGGGATCACATACAGAAAAAATTCCAATAAAATTTGATCTAAATTACACAAATTATGATTTGAAAAGATCAAACATGAACTTATGATATTTATGATGAAGTCTAACTGCATATTTTTCGTTATGGTTAGATATTTATCAATAATTGATTGATTGCTGGATGTTTTTAATTGATTACCCTTGGAGATATATTTTGTATCAATTGTATTTAGATAGGAAGTTTATTGTCATTGTTTACATCGCGCAAAGGGAAACAAACTGTTTGGAATAGAATCGTTGTCAACATCAAATTTGTTATCATGTCCTTTTCAGAATAAGTACTAAAAAGTACAGGGAATGATCTTGTATTTTGAAGATTTAGTACGAAGTGTCTGACGAAAATAAATCTTAGTGGTGTAAGATTTTTATGCGATCTATATTATTCTTCGTTTGTACCAGAATTAATTTGCACCGATATTACGTTTTGGGGAAATATAATTATATCAAATACGCATACGTTTATTTTAATTTTATGATTATTTTCAATTTTTTTTCTCAAAATGTTTATTATTTTTAGTCAATTCGTTTATTAAGCTGTTAAAAATGAAGTAAAACAAAAACAAATAAATAAATATTAAAAACAATGAAAACTGAGCAGAAAATAAAATCTGCGTAATATAGGCAGAGTTCTTTCAATTTATGAATATGAATTAATAATGGTAGTCCGAGTTTTTTTGAAGTAGGAGTTTGTTATAGTCCTTCTTTGTCATATGTCGAGTTATCCAGCACCGCTCTGGATGCTGATGGTAATGATCAATGTTTTTCCCTTTGCAAGCATGCAGCCCTGAGAATTCGTCGCTTTTACAGCTTTCAATTCGATTTCATGGATGTGGCCAAACGTTCCACTTATTATTACAACACATAATATAGCAGGTTTTGTAATATTGGTGCAAATATTTCATTGTGAAGGGCCGATATCTTTCTCCGCTTATCTTTATAAACGATGGCCTAAATGTGTGACTATCTACCATAATTAGATAATAATCAACTGTCCTTAATTTTTTAACCAAGGTTTTTACGCAAAATCCTTTAATTTTGACCACTCAAAATTGCGCATTTGATCTTTTAATTTTGGAGCTTGAAATGGACACAAGACATTATTGACAACGGCACGTGCGCCCATAGTTTCTAGCGATAATTTTTCATATCACTCTACTGTGCTGAGAACATAATTATCAGTCATTAAGATCAAAGGAAAATTTCGTAAAATAGCGATAATATGGAATATATAAGGCTTTGAATACAAAAAAATAATGAAATGAAAATACAACCTCTATAAAAATCTTGTCATTGGGAAACCATGCTAGTTTGAAAAGAAAAGAACTTGAAGTTTTACACCATTTAATTGAATTGAGTTTACGATGAAGATTAGACGGTATCACTGTATCACAATATCACAGTGTGAAAAGTCTGACAAATTTAAATCTAAAAGACCAAAACCAATCTTTGAGAAAAATCTATTGGATATACTTTTATATATCTTAAAATAGCTGTTTTATATACCTTCACATTGTATATAGTTTAAACGGTAGTAAGCGCTTTATCGACTTGTCTTACAAAAAATTCAACGGTCACAACTCTGTGGTGAGTAAGGAGCAGACACTGTCTGGCAACACCCCTGGCAAACGGAATGGGTACATAAAACAAGAAAATGTTATAAATTGAATGTCATTTATTACATATAGAATACATGTATTATAGATATAATAAATGTGGTGAACCATTTGGGTCGGAAAATACCACCAAAAATTCAAGAGTAGGGAGAGAAATACAAATCATGTGAATACACAGAACCCCGATCCAATCCTTCTTTTGCTAAAGGAGTTCAATAATCCCTGTTTTATATATACTAAAAGCATTTTATTTTACTATAATTTCCATTTGAGTCTGCGAATATCAATGTCTGTATGGTCAAAATTAAACTGATGATTTTGCTGATTGGTTGAAATTTACTTTTCGGAACGCATTGAATGAAGTCAGCGGTCTTCGGAATAACCTTAACTGACAGATGCTTCTAGAAAAAAATATATAGGCCATCGCTTCAAAAGTAAATCAAAAACCAACTAAAACATTAACGTATTCTGAAATGAGTTACAAAAATATATCTATAAATTCAGCTGGAATGTTGATTGAATATTGAGATTACAGAAAATATAGTGAGTCAACAAATTGTCTCCCTTGAAAACATGCGGTTTTTACATCGCGATGACCGTGAGGGCATTCTGATGTATTGTTGCCGACGAGATTTCTTGTGCTGCTCACAAGGAAGCTATTAAACCAAGTGTTCCAAATGGTGAAGTTGAAATCATCCCTTCGTAAATATCAAGGACGCCATCACGAGTTGGTTGACCGTTATGGAATAACCGTTTCACAGATGATATCGGATATGTTCCTTATGTCGTAATTACAATACCCTTCCCTTTTCACGAATGTGACCTACCGAATTAGACTATTCACCGGATTTGTAATAACATAAGCAACACGACGGGTGCCACATGTGGAGCAGGATATGTTTACCCTTCCGGAGCACCTGAGATCACCCCCAGTTTTTGGTGGGGTTCGTGTTGCTTAGTCTTTAGTTTTCTATGTTGTGTCATCTGTACTATTATTTGTCTGTTTGTCTTTTTATTTTTGGCCATGGCATTGTCAGTTTGTTTTCGATCTATGAGTTTGACTGTCACTCTGGTATCTTTCGTCCCTCTTCACTGTGACGGGCTGTCCGGCTTCCCCCACCAATAGAAATTGACCGCCACGAAAAATAGTACAAGAGTGCTAAAAGTGGTGTTGAACACCAATCAATCAATCAATCAATCAATCAATCAAAAATAACTAATTTATAGATTCAGGCATTACCGAAAATAAGAGGGATGAACTGAGATTTTGAAGCAATCATATTAGTTAAGGTGAATTAAACAAGAGTTTATAATGTCTTTGGTGCGTTAAAATATTAAAAAATATTAATAAAAATAATATGTACACAGCACAAATTGCGCCAATATGATTCAACTTTTTGCGGGAAAATATAAATGCCTACTCAAATCCAATATATTAGAAAAATCGAATTATCATGCTCGGAAGAGTGTCCACCATGCACTTGCACTGCACTATTGCACTATTATTAGAATAGTAGAATAGAATGATATACAAATGGATGAAAATTATATATACATGTAACTGTTATATACAAACATTAATATAATATATTACATGACAACAAACCAGAGTAATACTATACTGATTTGTATCACTACAATATAATAGTTATTACGGTGACGTTGAATTCCCTGTCATTTATTCATCATCCACGCACGAACTCAGAAAAAATATATATCTGTACATTAACCTCACTCTCAGGTATACTGATGTGATTTTTTTTCTGAGACAAGTACTTGTGACCATCCACAAGAACTTGCGATCATCCGATGTTCAGTACTTCAGTACTTTGATTTAACCCTAATGTTACCTCACTGTAAGTATAACAAAAGTACACCGATAAGGTAATATAACACAATTTACGCATGTTTTTTTTTCACCGAACTTTTTTTACAACTATGGCTTTATGAAGCTGAACGTCAAGTTGTACTCTGGGTATTATATCAGAACGTACCTTGTGCCACTGGGTACGTTTTACATAATGAAAGGTACTGTGCTGAAATTAAAGCTGCTGAAGTTACCCAGGTTAAAATCAATGACAAATTGGCAAATGCTGCTCTTCCAACAGGTAAAACTAGTTGGCATGAAGATAGAGTAATGTGTTCGGTTACTGAGATACGTCCTCATACAGAAATTTAGTGTGAGAAATGAGCTTGTCGGACAAGATGGAACGGTAATATTTACTTTCAGGGAACTAGGTTACTCTTTTGTAAGGAGCCCTGTTGGTCTCATATAAACAAAGAGTTGTGATTTTTAAAGTCAAGCGCTGAAGATGTAAAGTCTAGCGTGTAGATTTAAAGTCAAGCGTTGGAGATGTAAAGTTCAGCGCTGTAGATGTGAAGTCCAACGCTTCAGATATCAAGTCCAGCTCTAAAGATGTCAAGTCCAGCGCTGTAGATTTAAAGTCAAGCGCTGGAGATGTAAAGTTCAGCGCTTCAGATATCAAGTCCAGCTCTGAAGATGTAAAGTCCAGCGCTGCCAATGTTATTATGAATAAGAAGTGGTATGAGTGCCAATGAAACAACTATCCATCCAAGTCACAATGTGTAAAAAGTAAACAATTATAGGTCAAAGTACGGCCTTCAACACGGAGCCTTGGCTCACACCGAACATCAAGCTATAAAGGGCCCCAAAATGACTAGTGTAAAACAATTCAAACAGGAAAACCAACGGTCTAATCTATATAAAAAACGAGAAACGAGAAACACTTTTGAACCACACCAACAAACGACAACCACTGAACAACAGGATCCTGACTTAGGACAGGTGCATAAAAATGTCTAGTGCTGTAGACTGAGTATTAAAATTCTATTGCTTGAGATGCATGAAATATCCAGCGCTGGAGATATTTAACCCAACGCTAGATTTTGCATCTTCAGCGCTTGACTTTAAATCTACAGCGCTTGAATTTAAATCTACAGCGCTAGAGTTTACATCTCCAGCGCTAGACTTTAAAACCCTCAACACTGAATTTGTATGAGACCAACAGGGTACCGTACTTTTGTATTACCTACTTAGGTCAATATAAAGAAACATTGTGATTTGACAAAAGATTCAGCATCTACTGAACATTTTTTGTAAGCTGAGGGATAAATCGGGTGTAGAAAACTATGAAATAATTTTACATGCAGGTGAAAATGACTTTTTGAGTATTAAAGAAAAATTATATTCATTACATGATAAAAGGCTGCAAAGCACTAGTAGCATTAGGTTTATAAAAATAGTAGAGAAAGAAGACGGTCATCATACATGTTTACATCTATTCCTGAATATTATAACGAAAGTAACTGTGTGTGCAGGTTCTGAAACTGTGTTAGAAAGTGGTGAAAATTCTGAAAGGCTATCACTATCCCTATGGCCCAGGAAATACTACCGTTCCACCTAAAGTACAAGCCAAGGTGAACTTCATATTAACATTGTTACCGTCTTTACTATAGTTGAAAACTGTACCCAATGAATGTTAAATATGCGCTAAGTTTAAATGGTGGAAGTTTAGAAAGAATGAGAAGTTGGAAATCTGTAATTCCTTGTTTGAATGTTTGTTTTTGGAACTAAACAGTTCTCCGTGGTCTTGATATGTCAGAAATTTATTAAACTTATTTTGAAATCAGCAGACATGTACGTACAGTCGGTAACGATTCCACAAACATTAAATGAAATCGTTACTGTGGCTGCTGTTCACTCATAGAGAATTATAGGAAACAGTCAAAGATGATGCGAGGCTATGGATAAAACCTGAAAACTGAAACACTGCTATAAAGGTTGTGTACATAAGATATGAAAACTTACACATTTTTTATTTGATCTCTGTCCTTTACACAAATAGTCATCATATCAACCACTGGACGTTAAACAACCAACAATCAATCAATCATATCAAACTTCAAAACAGACAGAAGAATTATTCCAACTTTGGTTCATAAAAGTAATGGGCAACATAATAAAGAATTTTGTGTATTATGCATCTTCCTTATGCCTGTATCACTCTGTCCATCTCTTCATAAAAATTGTATATCACGGCGTTATGACGTTAAAAGTTTATAATGTATGACCCGACGTAGATAAGTTTGACCCAATGTTATCAAATCCTCTTTAGCTTTGCTGCATGGTTAAACAAAGAAAACCCTATTGTTTTTGTCGTGAAAAACACACAAATATACATTCCGAGACTATATTCGATTATCATATGTTTATCATATTGATATTGAAAAATATCAGCTTATCGTTATAATATGAGTTTTTTTAACCCGTTTGCTGTGCTCACTCCACAAAATTGTGACTCGCAGTTGATTTTTTACATTACATGTATTTCCTTTTAAATTTAAACATCGTCTGCATGTGGAGTATATACATATTCCATATTTTAGGGCTTGCGTTTCTTACAATGAATTCCTTGATAAAAGGTTGCTTCTAACAAGTTAGCCATTGCACTCGGGGTTTTTATGGTCAAGTTAATGTTATACCTTCGAAAGTTTTAAGGACGATATGATGATTTTGGTTAACCGTAATGGAATATAGATTTGTGTCAATAATAACCTTTCTTTGGCCTGTTTTCAATTAGTATGGCATCATCCGAATTTTTAGTAGTCACGATCAATACAATTGGTAACACTAGAAGATCAGGATTGCTTGCCTTCCATAGAGCATAGATCTGTCTTCACATCCGCTTTTTTGGGGGGTTCGCGTTGTTTTATTTATAGTGTTCTGTGAAGTGTTTCGTCGACTGTTGTTTGTCTGTTTTATCATTTTTTATGGCCACGCCACGTGAGTCTGTTTTTCTCCGACTTCACTATGAAAATTAGCTGATGCGGTATGCTTTACAATGAGACACCTATCCACCTGAGATCAAATGACGCAGATTTTTCAGTTTTATTGTCCCTTATTACTCCTTTTTATAATCAGACGACATAACACGCCCCCATCCACAATGGATGCTGACGCTGACGTTTATATAGACAGTGCAGCGTTGGATTGGTTGCTGTAATCAAAAGTAGTATGTCGATGAGCCATCTATTCAGCAGCTACATATTGTAGTTTGTAGATAATCGGATAATCGGGAGCTGATGATTCAGCACTTCCGTTAAGCAGTAAGGACGAAGACGTGACTGAGAATGAATAGGAGCCCATATCCCCTTCGAAGCCCGAATACTAGTAACAATTATATTATACTGGAGTATCCTGATTTTAACACTAATTACCATTTTCATACGCCCGTTTACGGGACGTATTATGGTATACCGTTGTCCGTCCGTCCATCCGTCCGTCCGTCCGTTCATCCGTCCGTCCGTCCGTCCTTCCGTCTGTCCGTCCGTCGTCAACATGTCGGATAATAACTCAAAAACGCTTTAACCAATTTGCTTGAAACTTTGATGAAGTGTTTATATCTATTGACGTGAGCTCCCTTTCGTCTTTATAAATTTTAGATTTTACGTTTCCGAGTTATGGGGTTTTATTCATTAAAAAGGGGGATTTTCCAGTTTTCGGACAATAACTCGAAAACACTTTCACCAATTTGCAAGAACTTTGGTGAATTGTTTATATCTATTGATGTGAGCTCCCTTTCGATTTTTATATAAATTTTAGAATTTACCTTTCCGAGTTATGGGATTTTATTCATAAAAAAATGGGTGATTTTCCAGTTTTCGGACAATATCTTCAAAGTGCTTTGGTGACTGGTTTATATCTATTAAGATAACCTCCCTTTAGTTTTTCATAAATTTCTGATATAACATTGAGAAGTTATTGAACTTTATTATTTGAAAAAGCGACGGGCGTATCATGCGCTCATTGCGTAGCTGTTTATTATCTTTGTTTTACTTTCTTGATTGGCTACCAAAACAGTGGATATGAGCCCACATCCCCTGTTTAGGTAACCAATGAATTTGTAGGATTAACCGAGATATTTCACTCCAGTATAATATATTCAGATGACACTACTTAGTTTTTCGTCATGAATATGCATGTAATAGAATATGATGCGGGAGTGAGCAAGATTACATACAAAACGTGGATGATATAAACGACCGAGAGATCATTGACGTTATTAGTAATCTAGAATTTATAAATAATTATTTTAAAATTTGATGTGTCGGCATGGTAATTTGCAGATCTAACATTGTTGGGCTAAATCATATCTTTATATATATATATTTTATTTACGAAATACTTTTCACATGTAAAATTGTTGTCTTTTTGTGTATGTATTAGATGTCTGTTTTCATGATAGTGTCTCATGAGTCGTTTTCGTCTGGCATCCTTTTATTTAATGTTAGGTTCTTATGACTTTGTGTACATAGATACTGTACTGGATGGTGACACTTTAATAAAATAAATTATCTGTAAAATTTTGCCAATGGGTGTAAGGATCTGTCAATAAATCAAATTCATATTCTTTTCAATTTCATTGTAAAAATTAGACAATAAGTACTCATAAATTTATGTTTGACGGGATTTTTCATACGTATATTGCTTCAGGGTGACAGTTGTACACTTCGTTATTCCTTTACCAGTATAATAAATAAATCTTCATTGAAAATTTCATTGTGCATAAAAAGCCGTGCACTATTAGGAAAAGATTTCCCATCCAACAAGCAAGAAAGTATATGTTTTGCAAATAAATATGAGCTACGAAATTCCATAAGGACAATATATACAGACTTTTGGTGAGTACCTTTATGTGAATGATAAACAATTTAAATACATTTCAAAATTTCAAATTCATATGCGATTAAGTTGAATTGAATTTTAAAACTCTTGACTGCAGTGAGATCACATGTACACTTCATATGCTTTGACACAAAATATTATTTCGATAGTAAAATCGATTTCTTAGACTAAGATAGTTCCAGAGGAACTCCGCAGGATTATTGAAAAGAGCCATTGAAATTTATTTGGTACTGTGCAAGTTTAATTTATTTAAGATGTAATTATTCTTTACCATAAACATGATGATACGCTGAATAGTATCGTCTAAAATGATTTCAACAATGTTCCTCTGTGAACGTTTGTTTGTTCCGCCTGGCAACAGTTCCTATGGAAGCTTTGTTATAACAATGCCATATCTGTTCCTTTTGGAAAAAAAAATCTATAATCTTTATTCCGTAAGGAACAATATTCCAGTAGAAATAATATTACAGAACAATTCTTCCATTTTGGAACTTTTATTATGAAGGACTTCTATTTCATGACACCTCATTTTCATCAATGCTCTTCTTAATTTGCCTAGTTATACATGTCACGATCAGCGAGAGTTAGATTTGAAAAAAAGTGGGAAATACCATTATCTCTTAAACAAACAAAAATTGCTACTCAAAGAAGTGTAAATATAAGAACTAGACACAAAACGGGTTGGTACTAACTAAAATTTAGAGTTATTATTGTTGGAGAGCCTACATGAATATTAATTAACCTTCATGATAAATTTACATCATATAGATTTTTTACTGTTCATCAACTTATTAAATTTCAGTGAATGTGGTGGTTTCTATATTTATTTCTCCGTGTTTGACAAGTGTTTACGGTCATCATTAAGTACAGAATAATATTAAAATATACTGAAATTCATCTCTGATATCTCCAGAATTATAAAGTAAACCTTTTCACTATTTTCTCTTGCAATAATTTGTCATCTAACAGTCTCAATAGGTAATTTATGATTTTCCGTTCTAAAACCAAGTAAAGTATTAATATTTTTGTAGTCTAGATTTAAAAAAAATGATGTTCTGTAGTTTTATGCAATTGCACCCCTCAATTAAATTGTAGTTTATTACCTAATTTCATTAATGAAATTTGGACTTGTTTGATCTGCCGGAGACAAATACATGTGTATTAGATAATTACTGCGTCATAATGTAATTAGGGTAAAATTACTCATTAAGTATGTTTTTTTTATATCTTTAAAGGATTATTGTCATTTTCCATGGCAGATGTCAAATATCAATATTACTCATATAAATGGGTATAAATATTGAAATAGGTCAAGGACGTTTCATTCGAATTTGATACCGAACATAAGTCTCGCTCGACTATTGCAGCTGGGTTCTGATTTATGCCATTGAATTAACTATGTGAGTAAAGTTTATTTAAAACTCGAATAATTCTGTGCTTTCTTGTGGTATATAATAACCGTTCGGGTTAATGGAGCGATCGGAGACCGCCGAAAAATAACGATTGACATTATTCGGGTTTACACTATTTAATTGTTACTTACAATGTAAGTTATATAGCTAGGGTGTTTATCTCAGAATATCATGAAAACGTTTTAAGATATACGTGAAACAAGAATATAACCTAAAATTATTAAGGAATATAGAAATGCAGACTTTCACGTCCAGACTATCATAAATAATTCTCTTGTGACCTATTATAATTATTATCTGTATCTTACACTGTACGGCTTACGAGCGATTCCACAAATGCGTTAAATTTCGACTAATGCCCACTCGTTCTGCAATCATATTATTGTGTAATAGCTTTTATATTAAATATCGATCATTAGTTACAATTGGATTTCTCAAAATCCTTGCGAGGAAATTGAATTTGATTTGATAATTCATTAGACCAATAATGAAATGAAAACTTATATTCCTTTTACTGAATAACTTTGAACTGTGTTTCAGGAGATTATAATGACCGGGAGGTACATTTAAACAATTGAAATACAAGAGCATTGAAGAAGATTTTACTGAAAATGGACATAGAGAAACCAAATTTTATTACAATGAAAAGCATTTTCAACTATAAAATTGACACGATAGCAAAAAGTCTAAAAGCCGTGGACGAAAAAGCAAAGTATGTTATGGCCAGTGATTTTTCGGAATATAAAGGACTGCAAAATGAAACCAAAATAGTTGATTCGAGTGACAAACCATTCTCTTGTGTCAAGTGTAACAAGAGTTTTAATTCCGGACAATCTCTGAAGACACACATGAAAAGACATGTCGGTTTTAAGCCTCACATATGTGAAGTATGCCATAAGCGTTTTATTGACAAAGGCGACTTGAAAAAGCATCTACGAGTACACAGTGGCGAAAAACCTTACAGTTGTAACATTTGCGGCAGAGCATTCAGTTTGCCAAGTAGTCGTTCGTCTCATATGAAAAGACATAAAGGTATCAAAGAACATCGTTGTGATGTATGTGGTACAAGTTTCACAGACAAAGGTGATTTGACAAAGCATATGAGAAGAAAACATGGTAACAAGAGACCATTCAGCTGTAACACATGTGGTAAAGACTTCAAATACCCCAACTGTCTGGTAATACACATGAGAACACACGCGGAGGAGCGACCACATAGTTGTGAGATATGTGGTAAAAGTTTTAAAGAAAAAGTTAGTTTAAAGTATCACATGAAAATACATACTGGTGATAAACCGTATAAATGCAATGTGTGTGGAAAAAGCTTTGCGTATAATACAAACATGAAAAGCCATATGCGAATACACAATTCAGAGGTACCCACTAGACCTTATAAATGTGTTGTTTGTGTTAGCAGATTTATTACGAAAGGTGAGTTAGCAAAACACCAGAAGATACATAGTGACAAGAACCCATATTGCTGTTCAATATGTGGTAAATGTTTTAAGATAAAAAGCTATTTAACAACTCACATGAAAATACATACTGAGGAAAAAACACATGGTTGTCTTACATGTGGTAAAAACTTTAGAGATAAAGCAAATCTTACAAAACACATGATCACTCATAATGATGAGAAAAAAATTCGTTGTGAAATATGCGGTAGATGTTTTAAGCTTTCCAGCAATTTGAAGGAACACATGGAAACACATACTGGTTATGATAAACCACATGAATGTGATATATGTGGTAAAAGATTCAGGAAGAATAATTGTCTCACAATTCATATGAGGACCCATACTGACGAGAAGCCCTTCAAATGCATGGTGTGTGGTAAGGCGTTTAGACAAAACAGTAACCTAAACACACACTTGAAAATACATACGGGCAATAAATATCATAAGTGCGATATGTGCGATAAAACATTTAACTCTCCTGGAGAACTGTCTACTCATATGAGAATACATACTGGTGAGAAACCCTATACTTGTGACACATGTGGTAAAGGCTTTACTACGAAAAGAAACCTGACTACTCACATGGACATACATTCTGATTATAAGGCTTTTGATTGTGAAACTTGTGGCAAACGTTTTAGGTTAAAAAACCATTTTGTAAGCCACATGAGAACACACACTGGTGAAAAACCTTTTAAATGTACTGAATGTGGTAAAAGTTTTGCTGAAAATGGGGCTTTAACAATACACAAGAGAACACATACCGGCGAAACTCCATACGAATGTGAAATATGTAACAGAAAATTTTCCCATCTTAGTAATTTACAAAGGCACGTTAAAAATACCCATAATGGTGAAAAACCCTATCCTTGTGGTTCGTGCGATAAAGCATTTGGAAGCAACGCTCAGTTACAGAGACACACGAGAACACACACTGGTGAAAGGCCATACAAGTGCGAAACGTGTGGTAAGAGCTATCAAGATTCTGGTGCATTGAAGCGACACCAAGGAACACATACGGGCATTAAACCGTATAGCTGTGATACATGTGATAAAAAGTTTTTAACTGGATATGAGCTGACTATCCACCAGAGAGTACACACCGGTTACAAGCCATACACGTGTGACAGATGTGGAAAAGGATTCAATCAGCAAACGCGTTACAGAGATCACACGATGAAAAGCTGCATTGAAATCTAATTTATCATATAAGAATTTCATAAAAAAGAACTAAATTGTGGAACTTTAATAGAAAATTGTAGCCTGCACATGACAATATGTGTTTCACGTTTTCTTTAGATTGATTGTATATATGTTTAATGACTGCTTTAATAAGGAATGACAAATTAATAAAGCAATGTATTTCTAATTGAGTGATATTGTCCTGAAAATTTATTTTAAATGTCTTGAAAGACGAAACACACTGCTAATATCGTACGGCAGAAATGGACAAATGTTGCCAAACCAAATATTAACCTCTTTACGATATATTTCAGAATACATTACTTGTGACCGGAGACTATCATATATTTTAGAGGTTCGTAAGCATGTGAGAAAAACATTAGACAATATCTTTTCTTACGACCCCTTTCATCAAGTTCGACCTACCATGAATAACCTAAAAATTGTTTTGTGTCAATTGTAATTTGATATTTTGCTGTTGTCCTGAATATGCATGAAGTATTTGCCAATGGACGTTAAGCAAACAACAGTCAGACAATCGTACAATGTTTTGTAGGAAAAATGATTGTGATTATTGTTTTTTCTGTTGACAATATAGGTATTTCTTAAACAAGAAACTTATCAAACATAATAAATGTAGTTATGAATAAAAGAAGATGTCGGGTATAAAACGTCTGGTAAGGTAGTAAGTAAGGAAAAATTAATTCGTTACACAGTGTGCTAGTGACCTAATGAGTAGTTTTTTACTTTTGTTCTAAATTGAAGTGGATTAATTTGTGGTATGCAGCGACATGTATTCGTTTAATGGATGCATCGTGGGATAGCATCATTTCTTGATACATGGTGTTTATATTTGCAAAGATTTTATTTAAAATTGTTTTTAACTTCGTAAAACTGAAATTACCACAAAAATATAGCATTTATAATTAAAACATTTTTGATTTACATCATGAATCGCCAGTTAATTAACGATCCAATCGATATATTCATTGTTTATATAAAATGCACATGCGCAGTAACAAAGTCCTGTTCAGCGCTGAAAACGGTGGTCACGTGGATTGTATTACGCATGACCGTACTGACGAGAAGAGGCGGTTTGGCCAGGATACCAGGCTAGACAAACGTGTTAAACAATTCTGATTTGTTAATATCACTACAACTGGGACTAGACAAAAATTCTACACCATCAATTATGTCTTGCATCACTGGTAAGGAATATCTGTTCCCAATTGAAGAATCTAGAAATCTTAATCTTTCTAAATGATATATAGTATACTCAATATTGGATCATTTGTTGAAGGTATTTTTTTTTATAATCCTGACTTTCATAGAAACAATGTTAGTTGAAATGAACTTTTTTGGTTAAGTATACATAGTTGTTCTTCGGTAATACTATTGATGTACTAGTAATCTTAAACATTTTTTATACATAACCAAACATGCATTGATATCCAGATATAAGCACTAATGGTCTTATTTTCTCTCAATACTCATTCACATGCATTAGCATTTCGCACAACGTAACATTTTTATCAAGCTGCTTATGTCGTCTGTACACCAAATCAGTTGGATGTGTACTGATTTGATTCATGACTGGGAGAACATGGTTTGTTTATTAGTTGTTGTTGGGCCTTAATCTAGCTACAAGTAACTGCGAGGACTTTTATATTGATACTTTGTGTGCCTTGTCTTGTTGTGCCACCGCGCTAGTCGAAGGGGGCATTAAGTGTTACCCTTGACCGTCCATCCATCCGTCCATCCCAAAAGTATTTTCACATACTATAAGCAAGCTTAAGCGGGGGCATTCGTGTCCTCAGACACATTCTTCCGTTTTATTGTTATATCATTTTGTGAATACACGTAGTACCAATCTAATTAGTCAAGACCTTTCAAACTGATTTTTACAGTGTGTTCTTGTATTGTGTTTTCCTTTTCCAGGTTGGGAGGAGGGTTGTACAATCGCAAATGTAAAAAAAGACCCACCACAATTTAACATTACAAATTAAAGATCTATAGAGTGTCGATATGTATAATTGAAATGGAACATTTTTGAGAGTACGACAGAAACTTGTAGATATATTAGAACAATCTATGTTTAATAATTTGTGTATATAACTTATTAAAGTTGGTTTTTATATGCTACTCTATAAGGCGAAAGGAACTAATTTGACAAATTTTCAGGAAAACGCTTGGCCCAAACCGAAAGTGATGTATTTTCGATTATACCGATTGTTTTCGCATTTATTTTAGCATATTTTGTCTACAGGCATAAACCATCCTCGCGGTTATTAGCATTTACATTTTGTATGCTTTTTCAGTGCCACATTTTCCCATCCGTAGAATATTTTGAAATTCTTTGACATCCCATTTTTTTTTACTAGGTTCTAATATGGAAAGACAAATCCAGTTATGTATGACTGATGTGTAGTATGCAAATGTCACCATTCCAGATCATATGAGATGACTCAAAATTGCGCTAGACATATGTTTGTGTATGCCTTTTGTAATAGAATGTGTTCTATTTTTATCGCAAACACTTAGTGTTTCATTTTTTCTAACACATGTAGCTCTATCCATGCTATAAAGTCTTTCCAATTTTGATGAAAGATTGTGTTTTGGATTTCCTGTAGCAAAACTATGTGGTAAATTTTCCACCTACTTCGAAATCGAAACATCTAACCTTACTGAGTTTGTGTTTGAATCAAGATTCAAAGGAAAGACCCTAACAGTGCATAATAAAGATTTTGACTTTTCTACTTTAACTTCAACAGCTTCTTCACAACGTACGGTAAAAAGAATATTTTACTGAACAGTCATAAATACATCAGAAGTAAGGTATATTCGAGATCATATTTGATTTTATAGAATTGATCGGTCAGTAGGAACAGCTATCAGAAGGACTATGCGATATTTAAGTGTACGAAAAAAGGCCCATGAAAATAACATAACAAATTTGAACTAAAAAAAAGTACATCATGGTGGTAAAAAAACTACGATAACTACTCCGAAAGCAAAGATAACAAAGCTTTTCACCGAAAACCAAAGATTGAGCATTGATTTGAAGAGTATTAAAAGCTAAAAATTTCTTAAAGGTTTACCTAAACGACTACTGCAATCCATGACTCGGGGTAGAAAACTTTAGTGTTTCGAATAATTCAACATTTTATAAAACTTTCGAAGGAATGACCACCTCTAAATCACTTGGAACGCTGGATGCAATAGTACTATCCTCGTTGTTATAGGCATATATCAGGGAAATTATGATAGAAAATCCCTGGAATATCGTATCAACTGGAGATCTATACTCCATATGCAGGCGCTGTTGGAATTTTGCTTCTCAAAAATGGAAAGTTCACAATCAGAAAATTGAAATCATATCGATTTTCGAAATTTAAAATTTTATTTCTAAACCAAACCTCAATATCAATTTCTGGATATAATTCAAAATATAAGATAGACTTCAATGGGTTCGTTGGGATAGAAGCAGTCATATCATATGTTCTCGTCTTCATGTGGATGTAATATTTGCCACTGGACGTTAGACACATATCCATCAACCCAACCATCTTTTCAACATCGTTGCTTTCCTTACCGATTCAGCTTAGAGCTTTCATGAAGTCCAGCGTTTCATATGAAGCATTTTAGTAAGGATATGAATATTTTTTATTAGTCTATGACTAAATCATTGATTTTATGGTTGATTTATTTGGATTCTACATAGCATGGTAATAATATCTAGTTTTATAAATTTATATTTTTTTTTATTTACGACGATGCATGTCAGCTGTTATATTCTGCCGTTGCCACTTAAGAAGATGACATCAAACTTAAAAAAAAGAATAAAAATATGAAATACAATTGCTATCTAAACGCAATTTTAGTTATACATCATTGTTTGTAGAAAAAAATACTGCCTTTATCAATAGTAAAACTAAAAAAAACAATAGATAATTGCATTCGATTTATTATCCTCACATCGTTATATGCATGATGTGCTAACGCCAAAACATATTCCATTTCTGAGAAGCAAAATTCGAACAGCGCCTGCATATGGAGTATAGATCTCCAGTTGATACGATATTCCAGAGCTTTTCTATCATGATTTCTTTTCTTTTCTTTTTTAACCTTAAATTCAAATTGAGCATAAGTACTATTTGACTTTCCAAACTTTTGGCGTTAACACATTGTGCATATCTGATGATGTTAATCATAGGAACACTTATTGCACTCATCACATTTATTATTAGTATACATACTATATAACCTTTCGGAAATAAAATTCTCTAGGTATATATACTGTATTAAAACAAATCTTCTCGTGTAGGGATTTGGTGTTGGTGACTGATAGATCTTTAATAGTCTCTGTTAAATTCATTCACAGCTTTCTTGCATTATCACTGTTATAAAAATAAGGAGATGAGATATGCTTGACATATTGTACTTACCCTTGTCCATTGGCAAAGACAGTTTTTTCCTTTTAAAAGATTTTTTTTATATTGTGTGACGTTGGGTAGCTGTTCCATTGAACTATACCCAAAATCTATTTTTATTCATACTTAATCACGGTTCGATTCATGCTTATTGGCAAGTATTTATCAATAAGCGCAGCTACCTCTCATATTTATGATAGTACGATTTCTATTTTGTCATTGTAATAATGCACATCCGAAATGGGCTAGTGTGAGCTTTTGCTATCACATTGCGTCCGTCGTCCGAGAGATTCAGAGATTTCCTCCTTCGAACTACTGAACCAATTTGAATAAAACTTTAAAAGATTAATCTAATAGTATCTTAATTAAAAGTTATTGCCTCATTTACCAACATGGCTCCTAGAACATAAGGGTAACCTTCAGACAATACTCTCATAACTTCTAACCATAACAAATACAAAAAATCTGACAGACATGAGCACAAATATTTAGAAAATCAAAATCTATTTCCTTTCTATTAGTACTAAAATTTCCCAACGACTCTTTTTAAGTGTTATTGTCCTTAAAAGTAGATTTTTGATCAATTTCAGCTAGTTTACTAGAATAAAGAGATGTGGTACTAGTATGATTGCAATGAGACAGTGAGCTTACTAACTTGAAAGCTGTAAGGACAGTTGAGAACAGTAATGATCAGCAGTACAAGATCTTGAAAAATGCTACTTTAAACGAAACAATGAATTGACCCCTTTTTATACTATTTACCCTTCCGGAGAACCTCAGATCACCCCCAGTTTTTCGTTGGGATTCGTGTTGCTCAGTTTTAGTTTTCTATGTTGTGTTTTGTATACTGTTGTTTGTCTTTTGATCGTTTTTTTTTTGCCATTGCATTCAGTTTGAAAACTAATGTTGTTTTGGGTTTTTTTTCTTTTCTACTGGGGTATTGAACTAAGGGTGTCTAAATGTTCGACGATTGATTTTTCTTAAACTCATGTTAAATTCTTCTAGGTCAATGTATTTTCAAATTTCAATGTAAAAACTGGGGGTAACGGACTATGTTTTCTTCGTAAAAATACATTGAAATTCAATGAGAGAACTGCTTTTCATAAATTTATACTTAAGAAATATCAAATAGAAAAAAGTCATGGGCCTTATTTTCTTGAAAAATCTCCCCTAAAACAAATTTTCCTATCAAATTCAATATGATTATCTGCCCTTAATTTTTAAGGGATTTTTTTCTGAAATCTTAAATATACTTAACGACACTTAATTTTTTGATATTCTGATCTTAAAGAGCCAGGAACCCCAATAAATTGCCCTGTAAAGGTGTTTTTTTAATCTTCAATTATTAAAGTAAAACTTTTTGTATTTGAAAGTATGATACGAAAAACTGTATATCTGCTTCATGCTTATAAATATCATTAGCCTTAAATAGGAATAATTATTATTATATTTCATTTTCGTTCATTTTTCTAGAAATTTGTTAATTTTTTCAACCTTTTTTCCTTATTTCATATGTGACGCCACCCCTAGCCCATTGAAATTTTTGTTGAAAACTAAAGGCTATATCAGCAAAAATATTAGTGGGCGATAAATTTTGCAGAATTTTGCAAGAAATCAGTATTTTACGAAATCCAGCTACATCTGTGACGTCACTTATGACGCAATTGGTGAAAATCTATTTTAGCTGAAACAAATGAACATTTTAACATATGTTTTCATCAAATTTTCCCCACATTATCGCCGTGAAAAAAAAAGATGTTTAGGGCCAAAATTAGGCGTTAGTGAACAAACTCCTTTCAAGTTTTAGATGTTGCTGATGCGTATTAAATGATACTACTAGGGAAAAAAATAAAGCAAAAAAGCGTTTTTGTAACATACTCAGAAGAAATGACCAGAAAAAGACACCCGATCTACCCCAAATCAGCCCCTTTAACTTCATTTACCTTCATAGATGGAATTTCTATAGCCTGCGCCACACATTCTAGAAATTTCCCCCGAGCAAGGCATGTTGCATTGCAGTTCCGATGCTTGGGGATAGCCAGGTGTGTGAAGGTAGTTTCCACAAAGGCACCAATCACGATACTGAAAAATAGAATTTTGAAACATCAAAAGTATACGAAACTCAGTGTTCCGAGTTTTAATTTGAATAATGAATTGGCATGTACAAGTAATTCGTCAAAGACATTTTGTCAGATATCAAAATTATTTGTCCACCTCTTTAATATAAAAAAACCCACCAGAAACGACCATCACAGTCAATTATTTCTAGATGTAAAACAACTGTTTAAGTGTTGGTTGTTTGTTTTTGAATTTTTTTTAATAATAGAATATACCCCTAAAGAGAGAATATGCATCCCTATTATTGATTTACCCTTCTTATAAAACAATCTACAGGAATGAATATATATCCGTTTGTTCAATATGCATGATCTGTTTGCACCACAAGATTAAAAGTTGTTAGAATAAGAATGAGGGTTGTGTACATAAGATTACTAGTATACAAGTCGTGTACACAAGATGGTTCATTCCCCTTATTGCCACTTTTTAAAAATCGGGTAAGAAAAGTTAAAATTGCATGTGGGAATAGGTTGTTGTCTTCCTTGTATGGAACCTGCAGACCTGGGGCCAGTATCATAAAAACCTATCTTAAGTTTCATTTCAAAGAAAACTTACGAACGCTTTACGAGAAAGTTACGATGGTGCTAAGAGCGTATCACCAATCCCCTCGTGAGTTACTCTTAACAATTTTACAGCTATCTTAGTGTACACTTACGACTGCGAGTTAAGATAGTAAGTACTCTTATCGACTTTTCCGAAGTGACCGCCTTTGATTTTTGAAGAAAATATTAGAATTCGAGGCAAAATCGATAGTAAAAGTCATCTATGCGTTTAATAGAATGGTCGAAAAACATACTTAAATTCAATACTTGTTTTTATTGTTTGTTCTTATGTTCTACTGTTACACCACTGTCTCAGGTTAGGGAAAGGTTGACGCCTACAAACATGTTTAACCCCGCCACATTCTATATGATCCTATATGTGCCTGTCCAAAGCTCGGTCCAAAGTCATTAGTTGATTATTGAGCATTGAGTGTTATTGAGTGGTTGTCGTGTTTTGCTCATATGATTGTCGTTGGTACATGTCTGTCATATATGTTTTTTAGTAAATTGTTTTGTTATAAATAAGGCCGTCAGTTTTCTCAGTTGAATAGTTTCATATTTTTCATGTCTATTCCTTTTATAGCCGACTATACGGTATGGGTTTTTCTCATTGTTGAAGACCTCAAGATTGCCTGTAATTGCTTACATGCATTTCATTTGAACTTTGGTGGATAGTTGTCTTATTGGCAATCATACCATATCTCCTTATTTCATATTAAAGAAATATTTTCAAACATTGAATAAAAAACAAAAATGGCAGAAGGAGGTGCTCCAAACGGTCCGAAGAAAACAAGGGACGATTTTTCTTTCCCTATTGTTAATTTTCCATTTTTTGACGGTGATGTTCCTTTGGCACCGTCTTGCGGTGTTAATATTTCCCAACTCGTTCGCTATGTCCTTGTCTGTAGTGACGTTTTAGATTTCAATGAACGTAAACTTATCAGGACTTATCACTCCTTTAAATAAACTTATTCTAAAAGGTTACCAATTCAACGCTGTTATTATTATACCTTTAATATTGTTTTGATTGGTATAAATATTGATTTTGTTATCAGTAAATTAAAACCATACTAAATAATATTGTTATACACATATGCACTTTCACGGTACTAGAATCTGTCGATACCCATATTTTGGCATTGCAAAAGGTCATGTGTTTCTCTGACTGTTAATGACGTCTTTACACTAAATCCATTGGATGTTGGGTGTGTACTGACTGATATTTTAGTCTTAGATACAAGATTTTTTTTATTAGTTGTTATTGGCTTTGAACACTGGACACTTTTAATTTGCAAAACACTCATTTGCAAATCCGCCGCCGCCTCTCCTTAGAGCTACAGTGTCATGTATATAACCAAAATGTGCGGAATTACATGGGATTCAATAAATTCATTGCTTTTCTGCTGTTATTATTATATCTATTTTGTAATTTGATTTAGAAAAACATGGGATTTTCAATATCCCATGGGATAAGGCAAATCCCATGGGATTGACCATTATCCCATGGGATTTTGGTTAAATCCCATAGGATTTTTTGGGGTCCCATGGGATAATTGTAGTCCCATGGGATATTTGTTGTCCCATGGGACAAAAAAAATCCCATCGGACTATAATTATCCCATGGGATTTTTAATATCCCATGGGACAAAATAAAATCCTATGATTCAAATTATAAATATACAGTAAATAAATGTGTATGTTACAATGAATTCTGTTTGGTAGTAAATTGTTTTAAGATGAATCTTTTTAGTTGAATATCTTTTTTTTCCTTGGAAATGTTAATGCAATTATATTGTTCTATAACTGTTCAAAACTAAACTTTTAAACAACAAAGCAGATAATGTAAGTATCAATATATGTTTATTTATGAATTCTAGAATACTTTTTTGAAACACAATTTTTTCCCATTTGAAATCAATGAAAACTCTATTAATAGGCTTAACATACTAGTAGCTTTTTACATAAATCTATTTTTTTTTCAGGATATCCCTCCACCCAAAAAATTAATAGTTTCTTATCATCCAGCATTGTGTGATTGTAATGTATAGTCCACTTTTTTGCCATTCAGCACAGAACATTGTCATTATTGTGGTTTTAATATCTTTAGATATTTAATAGAACTTCAATTCATTGGCTGAGTGATGAAAATAATAACTGATCTGACTTTTGTCCTTGAATTTATTTTGGTCTTGTTTCTGTGTTTTCTCCTTTTATTCTCAGTGATGAATTTCAATCCTTCTGAAAAAGAACCAATAAAATCCGAAGTTATGGATAATAAAAAATTGTTTGCATACATGTAGCAAGAACATATGATTTTCAATAAAAATAGCTATGCGGTATGGATTTTACTGATTGTTGAAGGTTGTCCAGGGTTATCAGTTGCTAACCTCCTACATCCTTTGGTCTCTGATGGAAAGTTGTCAAATTAGCAATATACCACATCTTCCTATTCTAATTAAGGAATGACTGTAATATTTTTTCTGTCTATGAAGAAATAACATAAAATGTGGTGCACACTGAATAACCCTCGTAGCGAGTTATTCTAAAGTGTGCACCACATTTTTTATGTTTTTTCGAATAGACAGAAAAAATATTACAGTCATTTCTTATAATTTAATTCTAAATTCCATTTTAAACCGCCCGAGTAAACCATGAAAAAACGTTGATGACGTCACGGTCACATGACAAAATTATGTCTATGAGCTGATAAACAAAACAACGTCAGCCAATTAGAAGACGCGTTACATCCAAAATTAAATTATTATTATATAACAATCAATTTATTTATTCTTCTTTATAACATTTGGGTATTTTCCCCAGTTATATATATATAGATTAATGTTAAAACTTTAGGCAATTACAATAAAATTCCATTTTTCACAAGAATTTGCAATATATTATACAGAAATCCAACAATAGAAACAGCACTTCTTTAAGCTTCTGAAGTTCTGAAAGAGTTCCACTTGTGTTTTATTTCAATTAGAAAATACATTGAACTCTTTGGACATGTTGGAAATTATAACATTGATACAAAAAATTATATTGGTTTTTTTTTCTTATTTTTGTGTTGTTCGGTTGCTGTCTCATTTTTATATATGGTTATACATATATCCTAAATCTTCTTTTTTATATACTTAATCATTAATACACAATGTAGTAAAAATGGGATATTTTTTATTTTGATAATCTCAAAACATTATTATTCTATCAAATAACTTATTTCCAAGTTCACAAAACACCAATGTGTCAGATATTAATTTTAAGACTTGTATAAACATGATCAACAAGCAGTTGAAACAAGGAATTATTTGGATCTGGAATAATTTTGAATTCTGGAAAATTGATGAGTAATTTATGATGAAAACTAACCCAACTAAATAGGGTTAGCCATGCACGAATGGCTAAGGGGGGTTAGTTAGTTCATACTGAAATGATAGTGAAATTAAAATTAACCTTAGCCATGTGCGCATGGCTAACCCTATTTAGTTGGGTAAGTTTTCATCATACATTTCTAATCAATTTTCCAGAAGTCATAATTATTCCAGATTCAAATAATTCCTTGTTTTGACAGGATGTCATGCAAAAATCTCACTAATATTAAACTTTCACAAAAACTCCATACTCAGCGAGTACTATTAAAGTTCTAAGTACAGGACAAATTCCTAGTACAGGACACAATGCCTGGCAAACACTAGCATGTGTCAATGTCTAGTCAATCATGTAATCAGGCTCAAAATCTTAGTTTGGCACTGAATTTAAAAATTCACCACATAACGAACATGTGTATGAAATTCAACTTCATGGTAAGCTATGTACCATCCCTTTGTGGTATTCCAATATCCAAAATCTAAATACATGGTTAGATTCAGCATATCAAAGAACCCCAAGAATTCAATTTTTGATGAAATCAAATAAAGTTCAATTTTGGACCCTTTAAACCTCAATGTGGACCAATTTGATAACCGGGCCCAAATATCAAAAATCTAAATACATGGTTAGATTCAGCATATCGAAGAACCCCATATATTCAATTTTTGTTGAAATCAAACAAAGTTTAATTTTGGACCCCGATTTGGACCAACTTGAATACTGGGCCCATAATCAAAAAACTAAGTTCATGTTTAGATTCAGCATATCAAAGAACCCCAAGAATTCAATTTTTGTTAAAATCAAACTAAATTTAATTTTGGACCCTTTGGACCTTAATGTAGACCAATTTGAAAACGGGACCAAAAATAAAGAATCTAAATACACGGTTAGATTAGGCAATTACCCCCAAAATCAATCCCAGCCTTCCCTTTGTGGTATGGTACCTTGCAGTACAATTTCAGAGAGATCCATACACTTACATACAAGTTATTGTCTGGAAACTAGAAAAAATGCAATGAAGTTTATTAAACTAAAGTTATTAGCAAATTTCCAATGGAATTTATTAACAATAAAGTTTTTGGCAAATTTCCAATATACATAATTTAAAAGCAGTTTAGGTGAGATAAACAAAAACGCTTCATCAGCAACATTTTATATTGGCAAATTTCCAATGAAGTTCATTAAACTAAAGTTATTGGCAAATTTCCAATGGAATTTATTAATAATAAAGTTTTTGGCAAATTTCCAATATACATAACTTAAAAGCAGTTTAGGTGAGATATTCAAATGAGTTTCAATTACCAACCTTACACTGCCTTTAAAATTATGTTTTGTACTTAAGTAATTGTCCATTAACCTGGAAACCCTTTTCCCCCCCTTTTTTGCACCTTATTCCTTAACGGTTTGAGCCATAACTCCCAAAGACAATTCTTACCATCCCTTTGTGGTATTCCAATATCCAAAATCTAAATACATGGTTAGATTCAGCATATCAAAGAACCCCAAGAATTCAATTTTTGATGAAATCAAATAAAGTTCAATTTTGGACCCTTTAAACCTCAATGTGGACCAATTTGATAACCGGGCCCAAATATCAAAAATCTAAATACATGGTTAGATTCAGCATATCGAAGAACCCCATATATTCAATTTTTGTTGAAATCAAACAAAGTTTAATTTTGGACCCCGATTTGGACCAACTTGAATACTGGGCCCATAATCAAAAAACTAAGTGCATGTTTAGATTCAGCATATCAAAGAACCCCAAGAATTCAATTTTTGTTAAAATCAAACTAAATTTAATTTTGGACCCTTTGGACCTTAATGTAGACCAATTTGAAAACGGGACCAAAAATAAAGAATCTAAATACACGGTTAGATTAGGCAATTACCCCCAAAATCAATCCCAGCCTTCCCTTTGTGGTATGGTACCTTGCAGTACAATTTCAGAGAGATCCATACACTTACATACAAGTTATTGTCTGGAAACTAGAAAAATGCTTATTTTTGCACCCTTTTTGGCCCCTTATTCCTTAACGTTTTGGGCAATTACCCCCAAACTCAATTCCAGCTTTCCCTTTGTGATATGGAACCTTGTAGTACAATTTCAGAAAGATCCATACACTTACACACAAGTTATTGTCATGAAACTAGAAAAATGCTTGTTTTTTGCCCCTTTTTTGGCCCCTAATTCCTAATATTTTGAGGCAATTACCCCCAAAATCAATCCCAGCATTCCCTGTGTGATATGGAACCTTGTTGTACAATTTCAGAAAGATCCATACACTTGAACACAAGTTATTGTCTGGAAACTAGAAAAATGCTTATTTTTGGCCCCTTTTTGGCCCCTTATTCCTTAACGTTTTGGGCAATTACCCCCAAACTCAATTCCAGCTTTCCCTTTGTGATATGGAACCTTGTAGTACAATTTCAGAAAGATCCATACACTTACACACAAGTTATTGTCATGAAACTAGAAAAATGCTTGTTTTTTGCCCCTTTTTTGGCCCCTAAGTAATTCCTAATATTTTGAGGCAATTACCCCCAAAATCAGTCCCAGCATTCCCTGTGTGATATGGAACCTTGTGGTACAATGTCAGAGAGATTCATACACTAACACACAAGTTATGTCTGGAAGTTACAAAAATGCTTATTTTTGGCCCCTTTTTGCTTAACTGTTGGTACCATAACCCCCAAAATCAATCCCCACCTTCCTTTTGTGGTATTGAACCTTATGGTAAAATTTCATAGAGATCCATTCACTTAAACTAAAGTTAGAGTGCGAAAACTAATGTGTCTTCGGACGACGCCGGACGACGCCAGACGACGACGACGACGCCAACGCCAACGTCATACCAATATACGACCGCAAAAATTTTTTGCGGTCGTATAAAAACTTAACTATAACCAATGAACCATGAAAATGAGGTCAAGGTCAGATGACACCTGCCAGTTGGTCATGTACACCTTACAGTCCTTCCATACACCGAATATACTAGACCTATTGCTTATAGTATCTGAGATATGGACTTGACCACCAAAACTTAACCTTAAATATAAAAAAGAAGATGTGGTATGATTGCCAATGAGACAACAACTCTCCACAAGAGACCAAATAACACAGAAATTAACAACTATAGGTCACCGTATGGCCTTCAACAATGAGCAAAGCCCATACCGCACAGTCAGCTATAAAAGGCCCCGAAATGACAATGTAAAACAATTCAAACGAAAAACTAACGGCTTATTTATGTACAAAAAATGAACGAAAAACAAATATGTAACACATAAACAAACGACAACATCTGATTTACAGGCTCCTGACTTGGGACAGGCACATACATACAGAATGTGGCGGGGTTAAACATGTTAGCGGGATCCAAACCCTCCCCCTAACCTGGGACAGTGGTGTAACAGTACAACATAAGAACGAACAATAATAAAATGCTCCGCTGGGGCGCAGCTTGATACGACCGCAGAGGTCGAACCCTGAACAGTTGGGGCAAGTATGGACACAACATTCAAGCTTGATACAGCTCTGAATTTGGATTGTGATTAAATATTTGACACAGAATGAATGTGGTCTCAGAACTTAAAAAATTTTAATTTACCTATTCAAACCATATCATTATTATTTGCTTTTATATATAAATCAGAAATAACCAATTTAAAATGGAAAATTTTAAAGAAAAAAAAAAGGAAAAAAAATCCCCCCCTCCCAAATTTTTTGAACCCCCTTATGATTCATCACCCCAAAACTCAATAACAGCCTTCCCTTTGTGGTATGGTACCTTGCAGTACAATTTCAGAGAGATTCATACACTTGAACACAAGTTATTGTCTGGAAACTAGAAAAATGCTTGTTTTTTTGGTCCCTTTTTGGCCCCAAATTCCTAAACGTTTAAGGCAATTACCCCCAAACTCAAACCCAGCTTTCCCTTCGTGATATGGAACCTTGTCGTACAATTTCATAAAAATCCATACACTTACACACAAGTTATTGTCCTGAAACTAGAAAAATGCTTGTGTTTTGCCCCTTTTTTGCCCCTAATTCCTAAAATTTTGAGGCAATTACCCCCAAAATCAATCCCAGCCTTCCCTTAGTGTTATGGTACCTTGCAGTACAATTTCAGAGAGATCCATACACTTGAACACAAGTTATTGTCTGGAAACTAGAAAAATGCTTATTTTTTGCCCCTTTTTGGCCCTATTTTCCTAAACATATTGTAACCTCAATTCCAGCTTTCTCTTTGTGATATAGAACCTTGTAGTACAATTTCAGAAAGATCCATACACTTACACACAAGTTATTGTCATGAAACTAGAAAAATGCTTGTTTTTTGCCCCTTTTTTGGCCCCTAATTCCTAAAATTTTGAGGCAATTACACCCCAAAATCAATCCCAGCATTCCCTTCGTGATATGGAACCTTGTGGTACAATGTCAGAGAGATCCATACACTAACACACAAGTTATGTCTGAAAGTTACAAAAATGCTTATTTTTGACCCCTAATTCCTTAACTGTTGGTACCATAACCCCCAAAATCAATCCCAACCTTTCTTTTGTGGTATTGAACCTTATGGTAAAATTTCATAGGGATCCATTCACTTAAACTTAAGTTAGAGTGCGAAAACCAATGTGTCTTCGGACGACGACGATGCCAACGTCATACCAATATACGACCGCAAAATTTTTATTGTGGTCGTATAAAAATCAGTTGAAAGAGGCTTAACTCATCAGATGGATAAAAATACAAATACAAGTGGACGTGGCCGGGTACTTGTACATCCGAACAACAAAAAGACTCTAAGTACAGATCTGAGAGTACTCGCAGTTACTCTCAGCTAGTACAAAGCCACTAACAACTAATAAAAAAAATCATGCATCTAAGACTAAGTTCTTGTTCACTGATCTATGAAATGAGGTCTAGGTCAAGTGAAAACTCTCTGACGAGCATGAGGACCTTGCAAGGTACGCACATACCAAATATAGTTATCCTATTACTCATAATATGAGAGAAATTAACATTACAAAAAATCTGAACTTTTTTTTTCAAGTAGTCACTGAACCATGAAAATGAGGTCAAGGACAATGGACATGTTTCAGACAGAATTTGTATCATGAGGCATCTATATACAAAGTATGAAGCATCCAAGTCTTCCACCTTCTAAAATATAAAGCTTTTTGGAAGTTAGCTAACGCCCACGGGGTGGGGGTCTCAACATGGGATTTTGGGTACAGTTGTGCAGCTGGAATTTAAAAAACACCCTCCATTCATATATTGAATAATTGTGAAATCCCTACCTATACATATATTTCACAGCGAAATCATAACCCATTAAGTGAAGATCGTTGCACAACAAACTGAAAAATTATGACCCATTGATATATTTCCTCTGTAAAATTGCACCCCATTGATATATTTGATGCATCAAAAAAGGGACCCTTCCAGTGGCACATATGTATATACCTTAATATAGGAAGAGCCCCCCCCCCCCCTGGTGATGATGTGTTTGTAGATCTTACTTTACTGAACATTCTTGCTCCTTACTATTTTCTCTATCTTTAATGAACTTGGCCCGCTAGTTACAGTGGAAAATATTTTGTAAAAATTTACAAAAATTTACAAAATTTATGAAAATTGTAAAAAAATGACTATAAAGGGCAATAACTCCTTAAGGGGTCAATTGACAATTTTGGTTATGTTGACTTATTTGTAGATCTAACTTTGCTGTACATTATTGCTGTTTACAGTTATCTCTATCTATAATAATATTCAAGATAATAACCAAAAGCTGCAAAATTTTCTTAAAATTACCAATTCAGGGGCAGCAACCCAACAACGTGTTGCCTGATTGGTCTGAAAATTTCAGGGCAGATAGATCTTGACCTAATGAACAATTTTATCCTCATCAGATTTGCTCTAAATGCTTTGGTTTCAGAGATATGAGCCAAAAACTGCATTTTACCCTAGGCCGGCCTATGTACTATTTTTTTAGCCATGTCAGCCATCTTGGTTCGCGGGCGGGGTCATCGGACACATTTTTTTAACTAAATACCCTAATGATGATTGTGGACAAGTTTGGTTAAATTTGTCTTAGAAGTTTCAGAGGAGAAGATTTTTGTAAAAGATTACAAAATTTACGAAAAATGGTTAAAAATTGACTATAAAGAGCAATAACTCCTTAAGGGGTCAACTGACCATTTTGGTCAAGTTGACTTATTTGTAGATCTTACTTTGCTGAACATTATTGCTGTTTACAGTTTATCTCTATCTATAATAATATTCAAGATAATAACCAAAAACGGCAAAATTTCCTTAAAATTACCAATTCAGGGGCAGCAACCCAACGACGGATTGTCTGATTCATCTGAAAATTTCAGGGCAGATAGATCTTGACCTGATAAACAATTTAACCTCATGTCAGATTTACTCTAAATGCTTTGGTTTCAGAGATATAAGCCAAAATCTATATTTTACCCCTATGTTCTATTTTTAGCCATGGTGGCCATCTTGGTTGGTTGGCCGGGTCACCAAACACATTTTTTAAACTAGATACCCTAATAATGATTGTGGCCAAGTTTGGTCCAATTTGGCCCAGTAGTTTCAGAGGAGAAGATTTTTGTAAAAGTAAACGATGACCACGGACGACGGACACCAAGTGATGAGAAAAGCTCACTTGGCCCTATGGGCCAGGTGAGCTAAAAACTTTAAGTGAATACAATTTAGAGAAAGACAGATGGATGCACAAACACTATCATAACAGAGCATAAAACTTACCAAACAAGATGTTTTACATTTATCCTTCAGAAGCAGGAAAACTGAAGTGTTTCTTTTCTTTCTCTGCCCTCCATGATATAAACTTCAAATTCATTCATGCAAAATATGAAAATCTGCAAAAGTAGGACCTTGTACCGCAGCTTATCCACATTTTGACTTTTGAACTGCATTGTTCTTTTCATCTTGCTGGCAACCTAAACATAAAAAAAAATGATAAACACATAATTCTGGATTCACTTTGTGTATTTATTTTTGTTGGTACAAACAATTTTTTCCAACTTTAAACTAAATCTGCCTCTGCTTTAAAAAACAACTGAAAACCATGTATTTATCTTAATTGAAAACAATTTCTTGAGTTTTTCTCATTTGTATCACCCTGTTATTATATACAAATTTTATTTTTGTCCCTTTTTAAAAATAGGAATGGTTTAAATTCCTCAATAATCATGATAATTCTAGTCAGTCAATTAAAAATGTATGAATAAATTATTTAACCTGTATACTATTAATATCAATATATTTCATTTTTGATAAAACTAGGCTCTGTGTTGAAGACCATACCTTGACCTATAATGGTTTACTTTTATAAATTGTGTGACTTGGATGGAGAGTTGTCTCATTGGCACTCATACCACATCTTCCTATATCTACAAACAGATTCTATGGACGAGCAGACATTATACCATGGAGGTGGTTTTAAAAAAAGCATACGACTTAGATGTACCATAAGCATGGAAAAACAATTCAGCAGTCAGTTTCACAAAAATCTTACAAATAATATTGATAGTAATTAAGTCATGTACAATACAGTATACTTACGATAAATTGTAATTTTTTTTTTTGTAAAACCAACTCAAGAATACTTATAATCAATCTTAGTCGTAAGTATTAAGTATTATTCATCTTTTGGATAATTTATTGGTTTATTTTATGAATATACAGGTGGCAGATCCAGAACTTTTCATAAGGGAGGGCCGGCTCCAGTCATGCTTCAGTGATCCCTATATAATCAACCAAATTTTTCCCAAGAAACCCCCCCCCCCCCCCCCCGGATCAGCCTATGATATATGTTTATATATCTCTCTGATATGCCATTTCAAATCAAATGTGTATTAAATAAA